AGTCTCTATGGTTCGAATTTTAGATTCCAGTTATAAAATTCTGAAGTGATTTCCAATTTATAAATTTGCATTTAGAATTTTCGAAAAATTCACCAGTAAAAATTCCTTTCCTTCCCACTGATGCAAAATCAAACCCAAACTTGACGATCACCCCTTCACATTACATTCCCCGCTCTGTCAAGAATAATTGTCACACTCAAAAAACAAATATTATGAAATCAAATCTAAAATCACATTCCCAAGGCCCTCGAGTCGTGATTTGCTCGACAAACCTAGACACACACCCCCTTCTCCCGTTCCCACAGTTGCACCCTTTCTCCACCCCACCCCCTTCTATTTTAAAACAACTAAAAAAATAGCCTTACAAACACTCGACTGACGAAGTAGCAGTTCTCTCGAGGAAAAAAAAATTAAAAAATAATCCGAGTAAAGCCCTAGGAGTAAGAAAGCGAATCTCGGGAAAATCTCTTTTCTATTTGCACGATCACGTGCCCCTGTTTCTTCTGCACGATAAAAAATTTTGATGATTTTTCGTTGGTAAGAAATGGCGCAGGAGGCCCCGCCACATCGATATGGAACGAGAGTTTTGGTCCCTGAGGAATACAAGAGATGCAGAAGGAAAATGTCCGGTTGTGTGAGGAAAAATACAGAAAGTGTAGAGATGGGAAATGAAGTTTCCCCCTTCCTCTCCCCCACCCCCCTCCAGCCAACAGCGAGAGGAGGTGGGCCAATGCTGCTCTGCGCTGATAAATATAACGTAACAAGTTCAGTGGAATAGCAACTTCATCCCGAAGGGATCAACGCGTCTTTCCTACGACTCGACTCTGTCTCTTTTTCCACTCCTCTCGCTTCTCCCCCTTTAGCCATTTTCTTTGCCACTGTCTTCTCTCCTTCACACAAAAGTAGACCTTTTTCCCCTCCTTGTTGTGTCTCTTAGTTGTCTTCTTTTCTCTTTTCTATTCAACGAAGGCAAACGCGCAGAAAAACGAGTCGTACTGCTGTGCGGGGTATATAACACATGAGAGTAGACGGAACGCAACCAATCACCCAGTCCCTCCAAATGTTAAAGCCGTTTCTATTTATTTTCGGAATATAGACAGCTATCTTTGTAAATCCCTCGAAAACAAAAGTGAATTCGGTCGAGTTTGTTTATTTATTTCTTCAGTTGAGGTTTATTTATCAATACAAATAGTGGGAGGTGAATATTTGTAATTAGATGACGGGTTATTTGCGTAGGCCTTTTCATCCGGAGAGTCACTAGATTTTCGAACACTCTTTTCCCATGTTAATTTCTCTAGGAGTTGCGGACACTTACGGAATTTACATATCAATCATAATTTTTGCGGGCTCAAATCTATATTATCTTAAATGGCGATATATTTATCAGAATTTTTGATCATTTTTCCGAAGATTTTTCAGCTCGGTGAACGGAATAAATATTTCTCCAGATTTACAGAATGAAAAGGACTATTGGCGCGGGGTTGGTCACCCCTTAAGGATGTTCAGCCAAACCCACATTATTCACTATAATTAACTTCCCGACCCGAAGGGAGGAAGTTATTTTGATATTCTATCATATGCCAAGTTCATATTTGAGCCACATGTTAGTAATAATCTTAATCCTTCCATCGGGGCATCTAGTGAGAAATTAATTTCTGAAAATCACTTCTTTTGACATTACGCTTGGGAAAGAAACGTGACCGTGTGAGCTTCGATCGAGATTTTGTACACTAAGAGAAAAATCTGAAGTTCGATTTACACTAAGAAAATAAGGCATTGAGGCCATTGAGGGGTTGAGGCATTTTGGTGAACGATACGATTTTTTTTTGTATGAGGTACATAACATTATAGTAACTTCACAAGCGTAATTTTTGCAAATCAAAATGCAGTTAAACTAACCAAAGGTCAAAAGTAATCACGACAAATCTATCGTGAGCAGAACTATAAAATAGTTGCAATAACTACATTCCATTGTAGTAATTACTTCTCCGGCCATAGTTACCGTAACCCATGAAAAATTGTTGAGGACTTTTTGACCTTAATTCGATGGTGATGGAATATAGTCGCAAGAATTATATTTTTCTCTCAGTGCATGGATTAGACACTGAAGATATTGAAAAAAAACCATAAGCCATAAAGTCCGATCATGAAATTTCGTGAGCCATTAAGTAATGATAAAACGCAAAAACGCTGTATTTTTTTTCGTCAATCCGATCAACAATTCACCAGAAAAATTCAAAAAACGTGAATTTTCGCGAAAAGGGTGTAATACATTCTGAAGTTAATTTTTTTCTTGTCCCATCTTCTGAAGTTTTCATAAGAAATTTTTTTTGTATTCCGCGGAAGAATGATTTCATGAAGGAAATGAATGAAATAGTAGATTATGTCATCAGGCGATAAAAGTATTATTTGGCGAATGTGGCTTTATAGTCGAAGGCGAGGATTATAATCACATTCGTCAGATAATACTTTTATCGTCGTGCGGCATACAATATTTTATGTCATTGGGCCCGAAAACCGTGATCTAATCGAGCGAAGCGAGGTTAGAATCGCGGTTTATCGAGCCTAATGACATAAAATGATTTTACGAGGTCAATTGCAAATACCAGTATCCTCATTAGCTCCCACTGATTGGGTAATTTGAGAAAAGAAGTTTATAAAAAATAAAAAAAGGATAGAAGTTAAGAACGGCAAACGATCTACGCGCCATTGGCTAATTCGCCATTATCCCCCACCGGATCCAATTGCGTTATTTAATCGTCCTCGCAAGTGACTGCTCCCTCCCTTTTCTTTTTCTCGGGGTGCCATTATAGGTAAAGTGGGTGAGTGCTACTGTGGGTAGCGAAATCTGAAGACCTTTCTCGATTTCGTTAACTTGGAGGGTAAAAGGGTCGTGCAAGAGTTAGGAGGGAAGGAAAATTCGTATATACGGGGTTGGGGCTATAAAAAAGTAAATTAAATGAGAATTAAATACAAATAAAACGCGCTCGCCCAAGTAATTGGTTAGCAAGAGCTCGCTTTCTCAATATTGTGCTAGGGTTACGAAGGATTTTTCTCTTGGTCGAATGTAGGGTAGAGATGAATCGGACAATTCAGCAAAAGAAAATGTACAGCCAATCATTTTCATTCAATTAATTAATTGAGCCAATCAAGAAAATTGATTGTTTTTCGAAACTAAAAATCGTTTTTTTTTTCAATTCACGTTTGACAATTTGAGGGATTTGCTAATAATATTTGTAGATGGAAAATTGTCAACGAAGAATATCATACTCGCAAAATTACAATTTTTGTCATATTACTTTCAATACCAGAAATAATATATTCGTTCGTACCAATACGTTTTACTCATTTTTTTTATTTAAAAAACAAGGTAGATTTCTGAAAAATTGAAAAATCTTTCGAATAATTCATTTTTGTTTATTATTATTCAGAATACATTCATTTATAAGTTCGAAAATTGAAAAGACCTTTAGCTGGGGGTAAACAAAGTTGTAAATTACGTTGAAATACTCGAGAGAAAACTCTTAAATCCCACGCATTTCTCAAAAATCACGTATGGACCGATTTTTGCTCAATGGTCCCTTTTTTTTTGTTAGACTTAAATTTCTCAGGTTGGAAAATTTCCAAATTTTCTGTGCGCGTTTGTCGTACTTTGAATACCAGAAATAATTTATTTTAGGTGAAAATGCCCTTTTTCAAATCACACAGCTAGAAAATGAATGGAAATTACATGGACAGATTAGTAAAGAGAGAGTGATATTGAATTCGATTTAGGAGCGGGGGGGGGGTGGAAGGTCTTAAAATCATTAAAATTTCACATTCACTGAAAATTTAATAGAATTCTAAATCTTCGAGAAGCCATTTTCAATCAGAACATGAATATTCAGTACCAAATCACTCTGAATTTAAAATTATTAAAAAATTTAATAATATTTTCACCTGAATTTTTGTCCTTGAATCACTCCACATGGACCTCTTCCCTCCAAAAATATCTAAAAAATAATCCGTAGATAATCCCTGGATCTAATTCCACAATTTTACGACTGCATCAATAAACTCGATTCATAATCCACTATTAGAACTGCTCAAAAAAATCTCTCCCATCCCCTTAAAAATTTCCCATAAATTTTTCTTTAAAAAAAAGTCAGATCTCACGGCGTCGCTAGAAAAAAATCTATAATTATGTAACGAAAGAAAAACAGTGAAGATTCGTGACATGTTTGGAAAAGGATGGCCCCCCAGCACAATCATGGTGGGATTAAGGCCATGTATGAGGACGGGTGCATAAAGAGTGGGGCAGAGAGTAAACCAGAAGCGAAAAGAGATGAGTTCGTCCATAAGTGGGTGGTATGCTGGGGCCAAAAATGGGTGGGGAAGACAGTGGCTGCTTTTATCCAGCAGGGTGAGAGACAGAAATGATATTCCATGAACGGAGCATATGCGGCTGTGATAGAGGGGTGGGTTCACCCCTGAGCGCATAGCGGGGCGCTGGTTTATTACAAACACGGATTACGAGGTAATGGGAGTGGAAATGGAGATCACTGACTCATGTGTGGCTGCGAGGAATTTTAATTTTTCTATCGAAAAAATGGGCAGATGAGAATTGCACATTTTTGGTGATTTTTTTCCTGGGGGAGATCCTCCTTGTGATGACTGCGAGTCCCTCGGGATTCAGCCCCATGTTAGATACTATCGCAGCTCGGACTAATTCGTCAACACGATCAGATAATGCTGGAGCACACGCTCCCAGCGATTTTTGTTTTATTGATAATTCAATAACGTTTACATGGGAGAATATCGCTGATACACTGGAGCCTGTCACCACCATTTGCATCGTAAAATATTTGACATTTATGTCAGATTAAATTTGAGTGGCATTAACACATAATTTTTCGGCTCAATTCATCCTGAAACTATTACCAAATTGAAATAATCCGTAAAATTGCGTTGAGAGGAAATTTTGTGATGCGAAAGAACGAAAATAAAATTTGAGTGCTCGACCTATTTTTGTTGAAAGGGCTTTACAAAATTGAGGGAAAAAAATTGGAATGGTTGAGTGCTGAGTTTTGTATCATTTTAGTAAATTTATATGCTGTAAAATGTCCCATCGATTTTACGACTGTACCCTGGATTTGTGAGACCTATATGAGGACCGTCGATAGCCAGCTTTAGACTGCTTGGATGAATCCTCTCGATTGCCATCATTTGTGCAGCGTAAGTCAGTCGTCTGTGCTCCTTATCCAGAATATCGTCGTCTTCATCCCCTTTTCTTGGTACCTTTGATCCAGTGTCTCTTACTGCGCCTCGAGCTCCACCAGCAGCTGCACTTTTCGTTGGTTTTGCTGACGTCTTTGTTTTTGTCAAAGGCGCCTTCTTCTTTGGGGTATCTCGGGGCTTTGTTTTATATTTCAGGGCGGAGGTGGAGGATGACTTCTGAGCATCATAAAAATCATTATTGATGAATCAAATTGGATGAATAGTTGTGTACACAATTGTTTTAACTCTCGCTCACTCGCGCTCGGCCGCCAGCCTCCATCCGTCGCACGGTTAGCGCAGCGCCGCTGGGTTAAGGGTTCTCCTCAGTAGGGCCAAACGAGAGTGGAGCGTAAAATGATTAACTTAGTGAGGTTATTTTCGAGAGACGAAACATCAAATATGGCGTATGTCGGATAGTGAAAGACATAACGCTAATTATTTTTATCGTTAATTCATTCAACAAATTAACGGCAAAACCCAATGAGGATTTATTCCCTTATTTTTGAGAGTTTAATATAGATAAATCTAGCTTCCTTTGTTGGTCAGCACATTGTCATAAATTATTTGGTGAGAGGTAAAGGAGACAGTAGCGTTCATAAAGCCCATGTATGAACAGAAATTTGAATGATTAATTAAAAAGGAAAGAAACGGTAAAATTACTCAAAGTTTTTTTACAATCTTCCTCTTATTATTCTTAATTATTATATTACATATTCAGTTCGCTAGCACATTGTCATTTTGTGGCGAAAATTACTGAAGACCCCTTAAACCGAGCTGTTGCTACCTCGGCGCTTACCGCTATGCGCGCATTGCAAGTGTGGCAGCGAATGTAGCAACACTGTCGCTCTAAAGGTCGAGAGGAACTCACTCGCAACGGGCGGCGCAGCGCCGCTTTTCTGTCCGTTCGACGTTCTTTTCCTTTTTTAGCTAAACAAATTTCCCGAGAAAAAAACGGACAACGTCAATGCTTAATGAAAAGCATTGAACTAGGAAGTCTAATTTTTTCAGAATTTTTACGCCTCGAGGAACATGTTAAAATATGAAAAAATGAAAACGGGCGGCGCCACGCTCATTGAGCGAGTGACCGAGGGTTAATGCATTGTTCATGATTTACCTTCATGTCATTTCGAAGGACTCGCCAAGTCTCCCAGTTCAGGGACTCTGGCTGCATGATGACGTACATCTTGGGGACCATGGTGTCCTCACTGTGAACGTAAGCAGCGGAAAGTGCTAGGTCTAGTGCATCATCGGGTACCTGAAGGAAATGATTAGATGAATAAATTGATGGACATCATTTTTGTGGAAGGAAGTCAAATCTACGAAAATGGTTTTCATAAAATGTGTTGTATGTTTCTTGGATGCATCGTTTTTTCATCGTATTGCATGGTTTTCCTCACTGAAAAAAAAATACTTTTGCCATGTAAATTTACTAACTACAAAAAAAAATCCACACATTTCAAATGCAAATATTTTTATATTCACTTGCGGCAAGTAAATTTACTTGGCAGAAGTNGGGGGGGGGGGGGGGGGGGGGGGGGGGGGGGGGGGGGGGGGGGGGGGGGGGGGGGGGGGGGGGGGGGGGGGGGGGGGGGGGGGGGGGGGGGGGGGGGGGGGGGGGGGGGGGGGGGGGGGGGGGGGGGGGGGGGGGGGGGGGGGGGGGGGGGGGGGGGGGGGGGGGGGGGGGGGGGGGGGGGGGGGGGGGGGGGGGGGGGGGGGGGGGGGGGGGGGGGGGGGGGGGGGGGGGGGGGGAGGATAAGGCTGATAAGGGGGAGGGAATAAATGAGAAGAGAAGAAAAGGCGAAGCATATCAATTAAGGCTCACAAAGTCAGGTGCTTACAAACAAAACGAGTCCAGGGGTTGGCGAGCATAGCGCGAAGGGGGGAAGTCTCCTAGTAAAATATACAATCCTGTAATGAGAAGGATTATAAAAATTTCTAAATCCTGTCCATGGGATTTTTTTCCGAACATGGATATCCAAAAAATTACACATTCTTCGGTATTTGAAATACTCCATCTGTCTCAAATATCGCATCCCAAGATATCGCGAGGGATTTTTTGAATTTACCTGAGGCCTAATGAGACGGTGATCTCTCCGAATGCTTGTGAGTGTGTGATGAGCAAATAACCGCTCGTGCGGCTCTAACCTAGTCGCCCAATCTCTGTCTTTCTCCGACACGTTTTTACCGAGAATTGGACCATCTGGAAGCCAAAATCCCTCAGTGGAGACATCAGGCACTGGGTAAGGGTTGCGTTTCAAGTCTCGGGACGGCATCGATCCCCTCTCAAATCAATTGCCCCTGAAAATAGTGAGGAATGCGAATAATTCAGGTTATGAGGTTAATTATTCCCAACGGAATCATTTCAGTAGGAAAACTCATTTACTGATTTATCAGTTTCTTCGTCTGGGTTTATTCGACGTCTCAAGCATCAAGATGCAGCTATTGCGGGCTCGTAAATGCTGTCAAAGTCATTGGAGTGAAGCAAATAGAAAAACTCGAGGCCATCGTGATAAGAAATGACAATGTTTGCGTCACACGTGAGATACATCTGGAAATGCGTGCTCTTTTTTTTTCTTGTCAACATGATTTATGGGGGATTGTTTGTACTCCAGCCATGACGAGACAATATTTGTTTGAGCTGAATTAAAAAATTGAAAAATATTGTCATTGTACCAGGAAGACAAATTATCTGAGAATTGAATAAATAATTGTTATGATTTATAAATAATTTTATCTGAAAATAAATTCATTGAATTGGCTTCACCCTTTATCACAAAAATCTTCTGTTGTCTTTAAAAAAAGATGAATTTCAAAAGAGATTGTGAGTTTTTTTATTCGAAGAAGAAGAATTAAAAACGGGGAGTAAAATCGATTTATCGATCTCTGATGTTTTGGACAAAGGCTTTGCGGGCACGCATAAACATCGTCCTATCGAATCCGCAGTTTAGTGCCACACGACGATTTAACTTTGCTGGTGCCCCGAGTACAGAAGCTATATCGGTGTAAATGCGCCTCGCATCCTGGCATAATTAACACGTTAACCGACAAACTATAATGGCGCTCACATACACGCGGGGTATAACCGGTAAACCGTAATGAGACGACCACGATCGTATATCAAGAGCCGGCATCCGGCTTTAACCGAGCGGACCAGTCTCTCTCACTCCTATCCACCAGATGAGTTTGATCGTTTCAGGATTAAAGTGTTTGGAATGACCGCATTTGTGTTACGTCAAGTGCATCGTTTCCATTCATCCCGACGGAAGTCTCTGCTGAATATCATGCAGACAGTATTCATTCATGATTTTTAGAAATTACGAGATTCTTCTTTCATTGGGATGTTTCTGAGCGGAAGAGAGTTGATGACTACGGAGGAGAGGATTGAATTTAGAATTACACAATATGCGGACTTTTCGCCATCACCATGCGAACCTAACCCGATGTCTAAGGTCCGATTAGTTGTGCGTAAAATATGTATGCCGTGTGCGTAAATCCGGACTCATTACACGCAGAAAAACATATCTGTTGGAACAGCGCACCGTACGCTACCCCAATCATTTTCGTAGGCTAATATACGACAGCCAAAGACTCCGCTAGGGTTAGCAAATCTTGTCCGCTAATGTCTGATTTGTTAGAATAGCGAAAGGCGTATACGGATTTTACTCTTAAAAGTCCTATCTTAACACACATAGAAAAACGTAAACGTAAATTACGTTTAAGAAGTCGCCTTTTACACTTGAAGTTGAGGCACAAATTACGCTCAGAATCGCCGTAAATTACGGTTCCATAAACGTAATTTATGATTTCGTATTCGTAAATTGTGATAGTTGTTTCTATATTTTATGTTTATTTTTAGTTTTATTCTATATTTTATGTTACCCGAAGCGGTAAAGCGGGTTAAGTCGATGTTGAGCATTGGCCAGTTTTTGATGAATATCTCGAAATCTAAAAGAGATAGGAAAATTTTTGTAATCACCTTTTTGTAGAGCCAATTATGAAAAATGAAAAAATGAAAAATGTCATGAGAAAAATTTTACTATATTAGATTCCGAGATATTCATCAAAAACTGATCAAAAGTCAAAATCGACTTGACCCGGTTTATCGCTTCGCTACTGAATTAATGACAATGACAAAAAAGTTCAAATACGATGTTTTTTTCGTAAATTACGCTTAGAAAACCGTAATTAAGTTTAGGTTTTTCTGTGTGCAGAAAAAATAATTTTATCAAGCGAATTTTATTTCAAGCAACTATCACTTAGTTGTTGATTTTCAAATAAACATGATTTCATAGTGAATACCACTCATCTCTTCTTGAGATACATTTGATTGGGAGAAATCGAACGTCTCTAGAATTGAAGTTCCTTCTATTTGTCGCAATAATAAGAGTATTTGATCTCCTTCTAACCAAAAGTTTGCTAATTCCGGAAATTCGTTGGTTTACTCAAAAATCAAAGTTATTCTGATTATGATTAAATGTGAGTATGATTGAATACTTTGTTATCTCAATCAACACTTCGCCATTCCCCATTGCCGATTACATGAATTGTTCCGTAATTTTTTCTGAATATTTCTCTCCGTGTCGTACAGTAAAATTTTCTAGGATTTTCTAGGTAATTTTTATCCAACTTTTCTCTCGGTGTATCGGCTGATTTCAAAGTGGGAAAATAGGCTTTATGAATACAATCAGGGGTAAATTCTTTCATTCAAGTGATTTATGTATAAAAAAATGTTGAGCTGTATTTAACGTGTTTGGCCCAGTGGGTGGTAGCCCACGAAAAATCATCATAGATACAATATTAAAGCCACATGTAATTTATGTTAGCACGGGCGTGCATAATGCTGTTTGTAGAAAAGCGATGGTGTCACGTGCCGACGCGTGTCGTTGGGATGGTGCCCCACCTACCCCACCACCTACTGTCCGATCAGTAATGCGCAATTCTAAATGTCCCCATACATGGATACACGCACATGTACAGTATGTAACCCGCCGTGGGATACCCACGCTGTTGGCTCTGATATTTGCCAATTCGATGCGTTTAATCGGATAACGTGTTTAAGTAGCTTCTAATACGATTTTAGGTGTAGCAATGTTAACATTGACAGCTTCATTAAAAGATTAAACGCGCCGTTTGAGCAAATATGCAATTGTTTTATTTTTTATCTCAGTATTAACAGAAAAAATGGTGCACGGAGAAAAAAAGTTGGGGAAAAATTATCGAGCAAGTCAAGTAATCGGGGAGCGAGCTCGATTTTTAGTATTTTTTGACGCTGTATCGGGAAAAAAGTGCAAGGCGAAACCTGAATTCTTCTCCGTTGGCCCGGGCAAATTTACTAAACGTGCGCTGAGAAAAAAATTTACTTTTGCCCAGGAATTATTTTCTTGGGAGAAGAATTTATTTTTAACGAGCGTATTTTTCCATGCCAGTCATTTCCAGATGGTCCAATTCCATCTCCAAATATTACAATTATGTTGAACTACGAGATGATTATAATACATATGACTTTGAAACTCCATTGACAATTATTAACATTTAGAATTGGTCTTAAATCTAATTTTCGGTGGATCAGAAGAAAGTGTGTTTTCCCTCATTTTTCCCCCGTTCCAGACGAAATAATTTCTGACAGATGTGGAAAACAGAAATACCGAGTAAAAAAATGATCTCCGAAATCTTCCGCGTCATTGGCCTCGCTTACAGGGCCCGTCCCCCTTAAAATACAGGGAGAGAGCAGAGGTCGTCCCTCTTTTCTCGCGTTTTGAACACAAGCAAAACCCCTCGGGTAGTAGAGATGACACGCGTAATCGCGTAATCGTGGCGCGTGCTGAAGTTTGAATCAGGGGAGCTTTACGTACGTCTACACAGAACTAGGTAACTATGCAGACGCAATGGCACGTGATGATGCACGCCCTAAATCAACATATAACTGTTTTCCGAGATAGGTTCTCCGCGTGAATTCAAAAATTTTTAAATTATCGTTTTCTTTCTAAACAACGGGTTAAACTATTCGATCAAATATCACAGAGAATCGGCAGACTAAATAAAACAGCATGTGATGTTGGTCTTCACATTCGATTTTCAAATCTGTGAACACGAAAAAACTGATGACAATTTTCAATTTTTTCGTTTCACGGGAAAATTGTGTTAATTCGCCTGATGAATTTTCATTTTCTCAAAAAAAAAAAAATTTTTTTCAGTGATACTAAATCACGAAAATCATACAAAACATATAGTGATGTGAATGACTCTCTTTTCGGAGATGGTTGTGTGGTCGCCCATCCACTTATTTAGTATTTGTGAGAAATTTCTTTCTCTTAAAAAAAATATTAAATGCCAGATTTTGAAAAAGAATTAGAAAACACATTATGGTCTTTCGAGTCGGATCAGTGAATCAGTCAGATCAAGTGCCAGATTTTGTGACAACTAGACCAATCAAGAAAGGTTTGTTTGTGACGAGCTTATGCTGTCTTACTAAGATAGTTTGGTGGTCATCAATCCATTTAGTAACCGCAGCCGACGCTACCTAGCTTTCCGTAGCTCCAGTCAGCTCCTCTGGCCTTACGCAGGTGCGAAGGACTGAGAACAAATGTTTTTATGGCGTATTTCACGAGGCAACATGCTCTTCTCCTCCATTGAATTAGGTTCCTCATGGAAAGATCAAAGCCTATTGAACATTTCGATGCAACAAATCGAATATTACGTGATCACGCTCATGACAATCGAACAGTTTTCAATTCCGTGGTGACAAAATCTTTATATTCAATTTTCTCATTCATATATTAACAGCAATCGGAGAAAGTTTACTTACTCACATGATGAAAAATTCGATGAAACCAAAAATCAGAATTTGAACTTTCGAGTAAACCATCGAAGATATATCCAAAATGAATCCAAATGCATCTAAAAAAAATCTAATTACAAGCGGGGGAGGAAGTTAGAGAAAAATTACCGAACATATCAACACGGAGAGAAATGCTCAGTAAAAATTACGGAATCCACAATTCGCTCACCGATTACGGAATTGACTCAGAAAATTTAAGTGACGGTATCGTAATTTTTCACAGGAAATTCCGATAAAAATTACGGAACGCTCTGGAAAAAATCCGTGAACATTTGAACATTAACAATCAAATGATTCAAATTGATTGATTCAAATAAAAGTCCCTAGATAAAATTAATTTTTTCTGTCAGTGTAGAACTTGACTCCCCGACAAAACAATCAACGATACATCCAAGATAAATCCAAAGTCAATCCTTTCCCCCCACAAAACTCGAATTACCAAGAAGTTGAAGTGATTTCG